TCCCCATCTTCATCCGTGAACTGGTCACCAGTGGTTAAACGTGAGGTTCTGTTTTCACCCACCGCAATGCAGCTGAGCCATCGTGTGAAGTATGCTTTCCCCTTAGCGTTAGCTGCGTTCCCTCCGGCCTTCATTAGTACCACATCCCCAGTAGCTTTTTGCTGATATCCTCTTTCCCGTGTCTCCCGAGAACTCCCACACATGTCACAGGCTGACACATATGCCCTTCACACTCGGAAACCTTCCACGGCTCCCAGAACGTAAGGGCTGGAATCCGTCATGACCTGGGCCTGCTTTTCCAGCTTTATCCTGCTGTGCTACTGATCGGACCCACAGTTCCTCCTCATTTCCACAGTTCTGGGTCACCCTGTCCCTCCCCTCTGGAGCCCCACAGCGTGCCTCGCCTGCTCTGTTGACTTGGCACCTGGACACACAGAGAGCTTGATCGCGTTGCTTCCTTGTCATGCACCCGAGTCACGCATGTAACACGAAGAGGCGCAAGTCCACCACAGGCAGCATTGGCATTCCACCACATGCGGCATTGGCAGTCCTCTTTATGGTGTTAGTGTTTAAATGAAAAGTGCTTCATACACACCTGTTCAAGGAGTTTTCTCTTTAAAAGATGTCCGTTGGACAGTATCTGTTTCTGCCCATTCATTTAGGTTATTACCTGAAATGTCATTCAGACAGTCTAGGTCAGGGGTTCTCAATGTTTTGGGACTTGGGTTCTCTGTATACTCTTTAAAATTACTGAAACTCCAAAGAACCTTTTTTTGTGTGGGTCATATCCACAGATCTTTACCATATGAGAAATTAAAACTAAGAAATCTCTTTTCTTTTTTCTTTTTTTTTTTTTTTTACATATTTTTGCTATAGGGCATGTGTACTCACCAGAGAGTCAGAAAGCAAGACATCACCCCCACCCCCGCGGGGTGGCCACACCACAGTCCCTTCTCCTCCATTCTCCTCTCAGGATTTTGGGCGCACACGCACACATGTCCAGCATGAGTTTCAAGTTGCTGAGTCTGAGACTTGAACCATGGATAGCCGCCTGGAGTCCAGCACCCTAGCACCCTAACCAGTCCGCCTGCCGGTCCCCAAACAGAAATGTTTAAAGCACAGGATGGTATGGGCACACACTCCACGAGCTGTCAGAGTGATGGCGTCATCACAGGAGGGCACGTAGCCTGTCCATCCTTGTATCAGGGATGCACAAAGGCTAATGCTTTCGAACTGTCATTTTGAAAATACAGACCCTGAAAAGGGTTTATGGAGTCCTCCCGGGACTCCCCAGCCCACGTGGAAAACTGCCGGCCTAGGATAATATCGTTGGTCATTGGTGGTAGGTAACAAGCTGTGTCAACCTTTCTGAGTCCTTTTCATTTCACTGAACTTCCCACATTTTTCCATATACGTTAATACTTTGTTAATAAAAACACACTGCTGGAGCCAGCAGGCAGTGTAGTGATTAAGGTACTAAATTCCTGCATGGTCAACTGCAGTTCGAGTCCCGGACCTGGTGGCTTAAAAATCAAACCAAGCATGTATGCATGGATGCTCAAAATCTCCAGGGGAGACTGGAGGAAAAGGGATTGAGGCTTGACCATTCCCATAGGGAGTATGATTTTTCACTTTCCCTTTCTCTGTCTCTCTTTGGTGAGCACATGTGCCATATAGCAAAAACCTAAACAAACAAAAAAACTACATTTCCCACTGTAGGATATGTTGGCAACTCTGTCCAGAAATGAGTAGATGGTAAGACTGTTGAGAGTAGAAAGGAAAACCATGTCATCAAACAACCACACCTAGAGATCTTCTGTACTGTCCCTCTAAGCATAGTAATGTCCTTACTCGGAGCCCGTAATTCAGTGTGACTTGAAGTTATTAGTGGAAAGTATATGAGTAACCAGTTCAGCTTGCTTTAGTTACGAACTTGCATTTAGTAAATAAATGCATCAAAAAGAGAGTATAGATGATCTATAATTTTGCAATTTTTTAAATTTTATTTTATTTTTTTACAATTAAAGTATGAATTTATTTTGGTACAAACTTTGAAATTTATATAGTTTTCCCATTACATGTATTTCCATAAGCTTTTTTTTCCTGAAACATTTTTAATGAATTAATTTATATTCATTCCCTAAGTATCTTCACAGCATACAAAATGTGATTTCCCATCCAGAATATACTACATAGTGGTTTAATCATGCATGTTATCATCAATAATTTTCCATTTCTAGTTTCATATATATATATATATATATATACACACATATATATATATACACACACATACACACATATACATACACACACACATATATATATATATATA